AGGTAAGAGGATGTCCATCACAGCACTGTTGGATGCAGCAGGGAGTTGGAGGTAACATGAAGGGAATGGAAAAGGAAATGGAATTCCAAGCAGTCATTGGAAGCAATAAACTAGAGGCACATGCAGACAAATCTTAAAAACATAGTGCTAAGGAGGGAGGCGGGTGGGGGAGAAGAACGAGATGTACAGCATAATCACTTTTATGTAAATTAAGGCATATACTCACAAAACAATACGTTTTGCAAAGATATGTCCATAGTCAGTTTATATGTCAAACGTATTAGAATGAGTAACTAATGAAGGAAGGAGATTAAAGTGGAGATTAGGAATGAAGAGGAAATTATTAAAAAACTAGAAGCTGAGAGGCATCAGAATACAGTGGTTAAGAGCAGGGACTCCAGAGCCTGGGTCTGAGCTCCAGCTCTCCCCCTTACTAGCTCTGTTTCCTTGGGCAAATAATTTAACCTCTTTGGTTAAGCTTCTCCATCTGTAATAAGGGTCTGGTAGCTAATCTCCAAAGATGGCCCTCCCTGTATGTGCAGGCAGCACCTCCCATCAAAAGGAGAGACCTGTGACTGCTTTGACCAATAGGACCAGAGGAAGTGATCCTCAGGGACTTCCAAGCTCAGGCAGGAAGCAGGAGAGAAGCTTCTTCCCTCTTGGAGCCCTGAGTCGCCATGGAAAGAGGGGCCCTTTAACTGAGATGTCACGTGGAGAGAAACCACAGGAGAAGCACCTGGGCCATCTGACTGTCTGAGACATACAAGTGCGACCAGAAAAGGCACTGCCCACAGACTGCCTGGCTGAGCCCTAGCCATCCCACGGAACAGTGAGGTGCCGTAGAATGGTTGTTTGAGACCATTAAATTTGGAGGTGTTCTGTTAGGCGACAACGGATGAGGTCATTGTAAGGATTAAAGGAGGTAGTTTGCAAAGTGCTGAACAGCGCATGGCTCGTGGGAAGTGCTTGGCTCTATGTACACATTTGTGGAATAAAATAGAACAGGGATTTATAGAGGCTGACGGTGACAGAAACCGTGTCCTGGGCTAAAGTATAGGAGTAACTCAATGCTTCGCACCTGGTGCCCACAAATAAGATAAAATAAAACCTACAATAGGTCCATCTATTCATTTCCTTGATAGGGTAACTGTGGCCCAGGAGGTGAAAAGTGTATCCAAAAAAAAGTTTTTCAAAACGACGCAGGCCTCCCTGAGCCCATCTCTTCTGCTGTCTTTGTGCCCGGAATTCAGAGCCTCCAAGAAGGCACTAGATATATGAGCTCAGTGACTCACGAGTCCCTCATTTCTGGGAACACAGACAACTGATGGACTATATTTGTTTTCCTCTGCAGCGCTAGAGCCAGAACAAGCACATTTTTTATCCGTGATGAATTCTCAATTAGCCATAGGCTCCAGTATAAGGAAATGCAAGGATAAAGGAAATCCATGCGTAATTCAAAGATCTCAATCGCGTCAGTCATTTCAACCTCCAGAAGGATCTCTTACAATTCTTTTTACTCCCAAACACAGTGTGCTCAATAAATGTGTTGATTATTTAAAATTAATCCCTCTTCCTTTTGAAAAGGATTTAAAACCGTTTATGGTCCTTCAAATCATCGATCAAAGTCGTTTGTCAAAACCCAGGCGATCGCCCAGATGTTAGCAGCAGCGAGTGGAAGGAAGGAGTGGGAAGGGTGCTGATGTTCACGCATGAACTGCTTACTGGGCACCTTACAAACCCTGCAGGGACTGTCTGAGGTAGGTATCGTCCCCATTTTACATAGGCAGGAACTGAGGCTTACATAGGTGGGACACCGCCACTGGGACACTGCAGAGCCCGATTCAAACTCAGGTAGCCTGACTCACAGCTGGTCCTCTCCCACTCTGTCCCACTGGGAAGCAAAGATCCAGACTCACCCCAGAGCAACTCAACAGCAAGGGGAAGGCAGTGTGTCCCAAAGCCACCACTCCAAGACACCAAGACTTCTGTAAAGTCAGAAAAGGTGGACTGTGGAACCTAATAGCCCGTGTATTTCTGCAGAACTGACACATTTTGGAGGGGGTCTGCAGTTTAGAGCTGATTTCTCATGGCTGTAGCCTCCATGGCAAGAAGCCTCCGGCTGGCAGCCTTCAAGATCCTGCATGTGCGTGGCTGGGAGGGATGGCGTCCAACCAGGTCCGTCCTGGTCCCAACCTCTCCACCTAAAATAATCCCGAACCCCGTCCCCACCCACTGACCCACTTCCCATCCCACTTAAGCCTGCAGAATCACAGCCTGTAATTCTGATCCAGCACGAGGGCTGCCTGCTCTGTGGCTGGTCTGCAGGGAGCTTCTGGGAAGACATTGGATGAAAGCGGAGAGGAAGCATGTGCCGCCGATTCCCTTCCCCAGGTTGCTTCCTCCTCTGGGTCTTTCGGCCTGAGGACACCCCCTGGCAGGGCAGGTTGAGGACAGAGGTTTTGTGCGCACCAGGCCTCTCTGTAAGCTGCGTGAAGCTTCGGGGTGAGGCAGACCCGGGCCGGGCCCAGGCCAGTGCCAAGAGGGGAATGAGAGGCCCCCGGGGCAGGGAGCCTCCAGCTGGATGGGGCCCCAGTGCAGGTAGCCAGGCTGCTGGTTCACTTCCATTTTCTCCTTTGGCTTCTCCACATCCTCAGATGAGTGACTTTCACTGAAAATAAAATGACTGTGGCTACAGCCCAGCCGCACGCAAGTGGCCACCCTGGGCGCTCGGGGCACAGAGAGGGAGACCTGGACACGAAAGACAAATACACGCAACTTCCAAGTCATGCCATTTATTTTTCCTTAATTGGGTTTCACAGCCCGTCTCAGCTTCTGCTCAGTTCTCTGAGGAGCCGGAGAATTCGTGTGAACGCTCTGTGTCCCTGTCCTTCCCCAGAAGAGAAACAGGCAGGCACGTGAGTACACACAGGGGCCAGTGAGAGTGCCCTGCACTTGATTCTGTTGTTACTTTCCTCTCTGGCTTCACTGTGACACACGTTTGTCTCCGTCTAATATTCTCAAGAAAAATGGTCCAGACAGGATACGGCGAGGGATGCGGGGAGAGGACTGTGTAAAGGGGTGGGTGGAGGGAAGCAGTGAACCAGTAGGATCATTTACCTGCCCCTCCTACTGTGCCTGTTTCATTCTGGATCTTTCAAAAAGAAAGAAGCAGAGAGAGCGAGAGAGAACAAGGAGTTACCAGCAGGACCACTGGTAACTCGTGCAGCACCCCAATTAGCAAATGCACCCACCTTCGGACAGGTGCTGCGTGACTTGTTGACATACACAGAGCCTGGACCGAAGCTCCCGCTGCCTCTGTCCTCTTGGCTGGTGTCTTGTGCTTATGCTGCAGTTCCCGGACTCTCCCACCTTGAATGACCTCAGGATTAAAGGGCCAAGAGGGGATGAAGTGTCTTGCAAGAGCTTTCAGAATCCCAGATGGGCCCTGGTGCTGTGGAGATCAGAGTCTCTCACTGGGCAGGGAGGCACTGATGCCTCCCTTGGCCGCCAGGGTGTCCTGCCCACCACCCCACATGCAACCCACTCCTTGCGTGTGGACTCTGCTTAATTTCCTGGGGTGGGAGTGTGCACTGGGGGGAGAGAGGCGTGGCTCAGGCACGGTACTACCGTGCCAACCTTCCCAGCCCGGAAGCCCCAGCGAGCTGCCGGGGAGGGACCTGCCTGCTTTTGATATTTTGCTTCATTACATCTCATCTCATGAACCAAGACAGCAGGAATTTGCTGCAGCCAACCAACCTCAGCAGGAAATGATCCCGGGAAGCTAGTGCTTCCTTCATTCATGGAAACAACAGGGAGGAGCAAGGGCATGGTTCCCTCATGAATGTTTGCACCACTCCGTTGAGAGGCTGGTTGACCAGACAGCTCAGGGACCAAGGCTGGGTGGACGTCGTTTGTCAACTATATTACAGGGCTGCAATTCACACGCTACCAAGCCAGACTCTTGGCTCTGGAAATTTAATGTGTGACAGCTGCGTGCAGCCAGTGGTGTCCAGCATTTTAGAAAGGTCAATTAAGAAACGGTTGATGGTGGTGCAGCTAATGACAGCCCAGAGGGGTGAGCAGGGCTGAGTAAACAGAAGGGCTGAGACATATATTACTGGAATTGAAGTGTCGAAGTGAAGCGTGGTGGGGGGAAACCTATTGTCACAGGCCATAAAGCACATCTGAGTTTTGCAGCGGAGAGCAGTACAGCTGTTTCTCTCCCCAGGCAGCGCGGGGAGCGGTCTGTGAACGGAGGGCTCGCCAGACAAAGGCGACACCTGCATCAGCTTGATCCATCTGCAGACAAAACTCGTTACCCTCCTCACTGCCTGTTCCTCTGCACTTCCTGGAGCACGAGGCAGACGCTGGAGTGATAGTTGCAATGTGGGTCATGTTCTAGAAATCCATATTTTAAGCATTCCCCAAAGCTGGGCTCCGTCTTCGCTTCAGGGCTGTGGGTAGGTGGGCGGACGGGAGCCTGAGTGCCAATCTGAGCGAGTGCTCTCCTCAGACAGCATGTCTGCTCCCTGGCTTCAGTGGACACACAAAGGCAGGGAGCAGTCTAGACCCTTTACACCGCGATGGATAAAAGAGGGACATGGAGCCCTTAGAAAATGCTTATTTCAGCCTGTGACAGAATTGGCTCATGGTTGGGGGAAGGCACTGCGTGGGGCCTTTTTCTCTGTTTTTTTGGAAAATCAGACAAAGGGGTCTTAGACTGCTTGGACAGGCATTTTTGGCCACGACTACCTGTCAAGCCGGAAATTCGGCAGAGCAATGGGAATGCTAATTGATATGCAAAACAGGTCCAGGGTTCCTAGAAATGTCTAATGATCCTCCAGTTCAATGCGAATGAAGGATTAAGACATGCGCTAAATGAAATGGGAATAGGAACACCAATCTTTTTGCCTTTGCTTTTTTTTTTTTCCTTTTTCAAATCTACTTTGGGAAACTTCACAGGTTTTGTGATTAAAAAAATAGTATTGCAATCAGTGGGGGTCTTTCACACACTGGATATTTATTATTAGAAAATAGCTTCTATCAGCTGTCATTACCAAACAAGTTGAAAGGAGCGTGCTTCTCACCATAAATTGTTTTTCTCCTTAATGAAATTTAAGTAAACAGTTCACTGTGGGGAGAGTCGCCACGCTTGTTTTTCCTTTAAAACTGAATAATTAAATGAAGTTGAGTACAAAACATCCTTCAGATATGACTTGTCCTGCAGCTGCTACGCTGTCCCCTTGAGTAAGAGGCATGGAAGAGATGGAAAAGACACTCAAGCTATCAAATTACCCCAAAGAATCTACAGTAGAAACTGGGAAACAAACCAACGAACCCAAACAAAACCCATCCAAACCAACCATGAAATCAGTTTTAACATTGGCTTTTCATCTTTGATTATCATCTAAGTTTAATATATATATATATCTATATATATATTTGAAATAGTAATAAAAAAGGAAGAGTTGAATTGCATCCTTAGCAGGACAACCTTCCTCATATGTTAAAGAGGTGTTCAGAAAATTCCATACAGTATCTGCTAAATAAACATGTTTGGCAGCTCAGCAAATATCATATGATTGCAGCATCCGTGATTTGAAGTCAAAGAGCGATTCGCTTTCTTCAGGCGGAGTCCGTTGCTCAGGGCGACATGATGACATGGCTCTGGATGTTCTTTGACCCACGGGCTCGAGGAAGGGTTTCGGGGTGGCCCAGTGCAGAAACTTCCAAACCCCAAACAACAAATCAACCAACCAAACACACAAACATCAAACAATCGTCTCCTTTGAGTTCCTCTTGACAGAGTGGAGGCCCAGCAAGGACTTCTGGTTAGAAGGGACGTTGACAGACTTTGGAATGAGGAGAATCACCCTCTGATTGGTCCGACGCCATTCATTGTACAATCGACAGTGGTACCTAAATGACACCTGGGGTCAGGAGAGGAAAAATAAGGGAAGGTTTCAGGTAAGCGGAAGCTGATTATCAATCCAAACAACACACACGCCATTTAAAACAGCTCCAAACAGCAGTACGGCGGGGCAAGAGCTGGGGGGAAACTGCTGTAGCAGGCAGCTGAGCGCTGGGAGACTGGCCCCTGCCACAGAGCACCCACGTGTGAACAAGGGGCAGGTCTCCCTCGTGCCTCTTCAAACTGGGTAAAATCGGAGTATTAATAGCAAATGAGGTTCCTCCTGAGTTTGAATTTATTTTCAGGATAGTGGTCTGGGCCCCAAAGTATCAGTGGGGAAGAAAGTTGGCTGGGGGCAGTGGGCAGAGTAGCTACGGCGCCAGCCCTTGCCCAGCCGTGGGACTAGGCAATGTGCCTTTCTGGTCATCAAGTTTCTCTCTGTTAAATGAGAGGGATGCTGGGGCTTCACGCACCCTTCTGTAGGTTGGACACTGCACAACTCGAAGGACCCCATTCACGGTGTGATAGGAAGGGCACCCTTTGTACTGTGCTGTGGACAAACTGAACAACTGTACTTGGCGGCCCCTGTGGGTGATCCCCATTGCCTCCAGCTCAGTCCTTCCATGGCGTCCAGTGGGGAAGCTTTGGCCTGGGCACCAACTCCGCTGATGCGTTCTTCCTGAGCCAGTACCTGTGCCCACCTCAGCATGGCATCAGTGCCCTGTACACCACGGCACTTGTTTCTCTCTCACCCTGCACTAGAAGCATGTTGAGGGCAGGTCTTGTGTTGTATTCATCTTTGCATGCTGTGTACCTATCACAGTGTCTGGCGCTTAGGAAGCTGTTTAGTTAAGTTCACTGAGTGAATGGATGAGTGACCAAGTATCCTGTACCTTCTAATTGCAACACTGCTTTAGATTTAGGCCTCTCTTACATGATACAGGACAGCACGAGCAGTAAACGCATCATCAACTGTGACATAACTTGCCCCAAAAGTGCTTGCTTCTTGTGTAAATAGACTGGAATGAGATGCTTACATCTGTGGTTTGCTTTGGAGAAGGCTGGCACAAAGCACTGATGAACCGCCCAGGAAATTCAAATAATCTGTTCTTCTGAAGATGTACAAACTGCCTTTAAAGGTGGAAGTAGGTTCTAGTTTGAGTATATCCAGATAACTAGGTAAGTGCTGGGGAGGAAGGGGCCCATGACCTGAGAGTGACAATTTATCCAGGTATGGGCTGTTTAACCACCTGGGTTGTGTGGGTCATGTTGACCCTGGTACAGGGCCTACGTCGGTCAAAGAGTGGGCTGACCCTGTGGTATGGGCTCGGTGTTTCTGGAAGTAGAGGAGAATGCAGGCCCTTGATCAGCAAGGGCTTGTTTGTCTTCATGGCAGGATCATGAAATCCAAGGCCACTCAGATTTCTGAGGCTAGAAAGCAGATGCCACAGGCTGAATGCCAGAGAGATTTGAGTATGAAAATAAAAGCTTTTAAACTCACACAGATGTGCTTTTCTCCAAGAGGCTCTGAACATGCCAAAGTGGATCAGAGGTTGTTTTTTTTTTTTTTTTTTAAGTTTGATTCTCTTTTATCTGTTCTGTTCTGTCCTGCTGCTGCTTGGTGCTACTCATGAATGTAAGAGGCAGGCTGGAAAGCATGCTGTTCAGGGCCAAGGGCCGGGAAGGTGTAGGAAACAGACTAGTACTAATGAAGAGCTGAGGCAGTACAAGAAGTCTGGAATCTGGAAATATGACAGGAAAGCTGGATTTGAAATCAAGGGTCCCTTCGTCTGGGACGTTAAAGAGCAGCGCATGCTTGGCGTCTTCAGTAAGCAGCAGAAGCAGCTGCAGCTGTGCGCAGGAGGGAGCAGCCCAAGGGCTCCGGGCGGGCGGGCGCACCAGGCCGAAGCCCCATCCTCTACTGATGTCTCCGCGACTTTGGGAGGGTTGTTTGCTGCCTCCAAGTCCCGGTGTCCTCATTTGTAAACTGTGAATAATGATATCAGAGATAATGCACAAAGAGCACTTAGCACAGTGCCACTGCCACACGTTAGTGTTCCTGGCCTGTTATTTCTGATGGGTTAAATCTGGAAAAGAAGATAACTTTGTGACACTCCTTCTTGGATACAGGAAACTGGGGGCAAAAAGAAAAAGAGAGGCTGGGCTATTTCCTTGAAAGCCCTGCTCTCAGTGTGCCCGTGGAGGCCGTACCACCTGGGAGCTTGTTAGAATGTGACACCTGTGGGCTCCGCCCAGACTTACGGAATCAGAGCGTGCATTTTAACAAGATCCCCTGGCGATTCGCACGTAAGTTCAAGCCTGTGAAGCACAGGGGAACGTGGGGAGTCCATGACTTCGCAGGTCTCGTGGTTCCTTGGCCGGGAAGTACAAAAATCAGCCCGCTTGTTCGGACAAACGAACGAGATCTTATTATGCATTAATCTACCTTGATTGCTGTTCACCACCATGTCTGCAGGCAAATTCAACCACTAAGAAGAAAGCATCATGAAGATGACGCTGCATCGGGGAAAATACAGGAAGGTAGGTGCAGGGCAGAGGGACGGTGGGTTTGCAGTCGCCCTGGGTAGTCCTGGCTTTGGTCTCTAGGAGCGCCAAGACACTCCCTCCTCTTGGTGGAACAGAAGTGGAATAAAGCAGGTTTGATGTAGAGCAATAAAGAGGCAGTGAGGAAAAAATAAACAACATGAAGGAAGAAGAAGCTATGGCGGTAGTAACACTGGGAACTTCATTTAGATATTTCTTAAACTTCTGAGGTTTTAAAGAAAGAGGGTGAAGAAAGAGCACAGGGCCACTATTCTAAAAACACTACTCTTTATGGGATGGGTTTCTTGAAGTGCCTTCATTTCTTCATCCAAAGACTATTTATTAACCCCCTGTCACGGGCAAGGTCTGCACAGAGAGTTGCGGTCATGTGCACGGCACACAGAGGGCTGGAGCATATTAGCATCACCTCTCCCTGAGGGAGGTGATGGGCTGCACTGAAGCTTTGCTGTAAAGTCCCAGCAGGCTTTGGGAAATCTCATTACGAATTTTGATTCTGCCCTCTCGGGAGTTTATGGTGCGACAGAAGCATATTGGTGGGGCCAGGGCTTTGGCAGCTGCCTTCCCAGAACTGGGCGCAGCTCACTGACCTGTGATGGCACTGTGGAAGAGAAGAGGGCGGCGCGGGTGTGAATCACCCACACCAGGTCGTGCTGGACACCCTCGGGGTGTGTCTAGACCCGCTCCACAGTGAGCCTTGCCGGGACAGTGTTCTGTGGGACCTTCCCCCTTCGTAAAGAGATTTTAAATGATTAACCCATGGGACTGGGAGTCAGCCAGTGGAGCCGGGGCATCATTCATTTCATCCTGTGATTTAACTGGTTTCTGGGCTGGGCTCTGGTTGCATCAGCGATGTGGAGGATGGTGGTACCTCCTGGGGGTCACTGCATGTGGGCATCGCTACACTGGGCTAACGCACATCCTATGTGGACACTTTCTAAATGCTTCATGTGGACTCAGTTCTCACCTACTCTTCTCGTGTCCATGGGCTTCAAATCGTTGGTGACATGCACAGTGATGTTTCTGGGGTATCTTCCCCCCCACCCCAGCTCTCAGGTGGGAGGTGGTAGAGGTCTTGGCTTCCCGGGTCCCAGACACCTGTGTTCCCGCACAGTAGGTTTCAGAAGGCAGAACTCCCCGAGTCTGCGTCAAGCCTGGGCCCTGGTGGAGGCAAGGAGCTCCACAGGCACCGCAGGTGAGCAGCACGGGCGCGGGTTCCTCCTGACAGCGCCCGGCGAGGCCCTTCCAGGAGGGCTCCTCCGAGGAGCCGGGCTGGGACTGACACTGTGTTTGTTTATCTAAGACGTTTTCACAGCGTATTCTCCTTAAGCCTGACAGCTTGTTTACAGCGCGATTCTGCTGGAGGGCAGTTTCCAAGTGCTGTCAGCTTCTGAATTACGGCTCTTGCTCGGGCCGCTCAGCAACAGCATTTATCTGGGAAGGAGTTAGTCTAGATTCGATAACCTGCTGCTGAGCTATGGCCGTGCGTTCTTCACACCCAAGGGGAGAAGCGCCTTCTTTCCCTCCAGCTGCTCGGCATTTTACGGGGAGCCGGGGGGCAGTGCAGGATGTGGTGGAACACAGCAGTCAGAGGAAGAAAACCCGTCCTCTGCCAGGTGCTCTGATGGATGTTCCCGAGGTCATCCCACCTCATCCTCACAATAGCACGTTGGCCCAGGGGTTAGCAGTCGTTTCCCCAAGTTTTTGCATCAGGAGAAGGATGCTCAAAAAGGTTAGGGACCTGTTTGAAGTTACACAGCTACCAGGATGCTAAACCTTGGGTTTAAACACAGAGCCTTTGGATTCTGAAGGGATGTGCTTGTTACCACGCAGCACTGCCTTTTGGAAGCATTTCTGGAATGACGTATGTTATCAGACTCCTGAAAGAGCCACTCCGGGGACCTTTCCCTCCCAAATTTTCCTTTCACCTGGGATGAGAGATGAAATAGGATCACATCATAGGTAATCTCTTTTTTTCTTTCCCTCTTTTGCCCACTCCCCTCTTTTTTTTCTTTCTTGTTAGGTAAGTGTGTGCTTTACAAAGCAGATTTTCAAAAAGGCCTTAAGTTGGTTTGAATGCCCATCATTTAAGTCTATATCTTCATCCGTCCTTCACCTTAGGCACTTGTATAAGAAAAATCAGAGACTAGTAAACCTCTAAACATGGTAAAAACTTACACTTAATTATTTTCCAAAGCGCTTTCCCATAGGCGCTTTCACTTCAATCTCGTAAGACCAGGGGAAGTTGGCAGGATGGGTATTAATCTCATCCCCACTTTACAGATGAGGACACTGAGGCTCAGAGAAGTGAAATGACTTCCCAAGGTGGTTCAGTAGTTAGACAGTCGTAGACAGACAATTTCTTTCTTTTCTTTTTTTCTTTTTGTTGGCCACGCCACACAGCTTGTGGGATCTTAGTTCCCCGATTAGGGATTGAATGTGGGCCCTCAGCAGTGAAAGCTCTGAGTCCTAACGACTGGACCACCAGGGTATTCCCTAATTTCTTATTTTTTAAATTTTTTTGTGGTACGCGGGCCTCTCACTGTCGTGGCCTCTCCCGTTGCGGTGCACAGGCTCCGGACGCGCAGGCTCAGCGGCCATGGCTCACGGGCCCAGCCGCTCCGCGGCATGTGGGACCTTCCCGGACCGGGGCACGAACCCGTGTCCCCTGCATTGGCAGGCGGACTCTCAACCACTGCGCCACCAGGGAAGCCCTTTAATTTCTTATTTTTAAGCCTCTTCCCATCACCGTGTCCTTGTGGCTTCTGAGTGAGCATGGTTGCTTGATTCACAATGAATCAGGACACACTTTGGAAGCATAGACATTTAAAGGAGACAATAATAGTTTTGCCTGGGGGCTTCATTAGGCTGGGAACAGAATGCCTACCTTAACCAGAGGACTCTGATAAAGCTCCAAGCATCGTAAACACTACCTGTTTACCAAGGCTCACGTCATGCCCCTCTCACTGAGACTGAAATGTGTCCCCCACTTATTGTCTGAAATTTCCCCGAGAGGAGGCAAAGAGCTGGACAAAAGGGAAACGCGATGAGCAGGGGGTTGCGTCAGTGTGGCAGGTGGGTCAGTGTGGCAGGAATGGCAGCTGGTGGCACAGGACTCGGGAGACAGAGCAAGGGAGCAAGTGTGAGCACCAGAAGCTTCTACATGCCGACACTGTGCTGCCGGTGTGGGAATGGGACAGTCTAGACAGGAAATACATGTTGAATAACAATGGAATGTTCTCGGATTAGAGATGAGCAGGCACAGGAGAGTCATGCCAGGAAGCAGGGGGCCCGGTTTCTGAAAACCTTCTAGAGGATCGTGACATCCTTCCCTGCAGGTCTCAGAGGGAAGCGTCAAGAGACGGCAGATGCTGCGCTTTGTGGGCTCTGCCAACTGGTACCCGAGCAATCACGGGGTTAAAACACTAAAGAACCAGAGAGGGTTAAAGATTTTCCCCTCATATACAGCAGGAACACTTATTGGGAAATGGTTTTTCTTTAGTGACAGCTTCTCAGCTGGATGAATTAGTGTTTTTATGGGCAGCAGAGTCAATATCCCAACCCGGAATAATCATCAGGCGAAGTGCAGCTCCATGTCCAACAAGGACTTTAGGCCGCGTCAGGACATAAAAAGAAAATAACCAGCAGGAGGATTCACGATCTGTGCAGGCAGCGACAGCAACGGTGGCCAAGTGCATCATTCACCATACATCACAATCCCGGCAAGAGAGAGGAGCATGGACGAGAGAGAAAACGCCAGGCCTCCTAACAGATGGAGTCCTTGGCTACGAGAGGAGAGGGATGTCTGGGGTGCATGTCTTTGAGGAACTCTCAGAAGCTGGGGCTTTTTCTTTACTTCATCTGCTCTTCCCAGCAGTGCACATACACACACACACACACACACACACACGTTCACGTGCAGTAGTAAACCGAATCCCACGCTCTCGCCAGCATTTGAAGGTCTGTCTGCTCCCAGGTGGGTGAGATGAGCTACAGGCAAGAGGGGAGGCTGTGCCAGTTGGGGGGCTGCCAGCTCCCACCGACCTAACTCCCAGGCCCTGGGCCATACTTACTAGTGTCCAAAAGAGGTAAATAGTGAAGAGTGCGACAGTGAGTGCAATTAGTCCGACGGCTTCGAGCCGACTGCTAAAGTGCAGGTGGTCCACGGCGCCCCGTAGGCAGAGCCAGCCCGAGATGGTGGCCAGAGGAGTGATGAACAAGAAGCACACCATGTCTCCAAACAGAGTCCGCTTCTCGTGCTGGGGGCCTGGATTTCTGAGCCACTGCCAAGGGAAGGGAGACAGAGAAAAGCAAGGACAGGGTTAAATGCCAGGGAGGAGTGAAGACACACTACTCTGAGGTTGTCCTTGTCTACAGCATCTGGAAAAAGGCACTTCTGACCTGTTCTGAGATCACACAGAAGCATTAAGGGCTCATTCCCATGCCCTGTCCCATGAACAGTAGTGATTATGATGTGAGTGTAATATGACAATAGTGATTATGATGATAGGAATAGTAATAATAATAATAATAAAAGCATCCTTGCTGTAGGTGTCCTGCTGGTTTTGAAAGAGTTCAATGATTATCATTATGAATCACAGTGACCCTGTGTGGAAGGCAGAGAGGACCTTATATTTGGAAGGTAACTGAGGTGCAGGAAGTGCTGTCAGCTGCCAGAGCATTCCTGCGTCTTGACCCTGGGAATGTGTGCGGGAAAGGGTTAACTCAGCAGGCCCAGGTTGCTCAAATCCTGCACGTTCCCAAGAAAGACCTGTTTTTTAAGACTGGCTCCTAAGAGAAGAGCTCTGAGTCCTTGTGATAATGTGCCTCATAAGAGCGTTTTTGCATGCCTGAGGCCTTGGGCCACATGGTGCCAGTGTAAGCAGATAGTTTATGCCAACAGTGTGATTTATGCTGAACACCTATTTTTGTTGTAGGGGCTGGAGTCTGAGTAGCTTGAGGTCTTTCATGCAGGTGCTGCATGTCTTTTGTGACTCACCCCAATAAGCACCCTGAACACTGGGGCTCGGGTGAGCATCCCTGAGAGATAATGCTTTGCATACGTTGTTACAGATTGTTGCTAGAAAAATTAAGCACATCTGTGTGATATTACTTGGAGGGGACATCTGGGAGCTTGTGCCTTGTTTCTCTTGGACGTTGCCCCATGCACTTTCTCCCTTTGCTGATTTTAGTTGGTATCCCTCTGTTGTAATTAACCATACCATGAGTCTAAGAGCTTTTCTAAGAGTTTTGTGAGTCCTTCTAGTCAATCTCTGAGCCTGAGGGTGGTCTTGGGGAATGAGACTCATCTGACTCCACGCGTCTTGTAATGCCCCTGCCTTATGTTTTAGGACCCTGAACCTCCTATGTAGGACCGTCTCTGACATCTTAATTGTGCTGCCATCTTGGCTGAACCAACTCCAGAAAGGGTGGGGAAAACGTCCGCTTGTTGAAAGACTAGAGATGAGCATTCCTGCAGGACGGGAAATAGCGTTGCTGTCCTCCCACTTGGGGAACTGCTAAATGTCTGCTGAGATGTTTTCCATTCTAGGAAATGTCATGCTTACATGTTGGAGTCAGTGCATAGTGGTAATGAAGCCAGGTGGCTTTCCTTTGGATTAGCATGGAAATGTGCCCAAGTAATTTGACATTCCCATCTCACTATCCCATGTAGCGATGACAGAGGCCAAGGAGTCCAGGGAAAGAGTGAGGTCACACACAGTTGACAGGGTGAGGTGGGAGAGACACTGGCTGGCTGGCTTCCATCTCATCTCGGGGACTAGCAGTGCTGTGGGCTGCTGAGCAGATACCCCAAGGGGCCAGCACAGCATTTCCTACAAAACCATTGGTGGGAGGGAAAGGACCATGACAGGGGAGACAAGAGTGGATGGAAGTGACTGGAGAGAGGGGGAAGGCCAGGCTCGGGGCAGAGACAAGAGACATACGAGCTAGGAAGAGGGCGAGCAAGTTGAGGAAAGAGCTGTGTAAGGGCCAACACAAAAGCCTCAAAGAGTGAGCACAAGAGATGGGGGGTCAAAGGCACAGAAGACAGTTTTCTGGAACGTTCCCTCCCTTGAATGTTTGCCTGAGGCGAATAGTAAATGACCCCGTATGCCTAAATTACCCCTTTCCAGTGACAATCCACTTTAAAAATGGTCTGAGATGCTGAAAGAAGTCACCTCAGCTCAAAAATGGAGCTGAATACATATTAAAACATAGATTATATTAAATATATATATTTATATTTAATATAATTAATTAAATTAATTATTTAAAATAATTTATTTAAATAATTTAATTATTTAAAATAATTAATTAAATATAATTATATTTATATAATTAAATATAATCTAAATATATATTAGATTAAAACATAGATTATATTGTCTGTGAATATAAACACAGTATTATACAAATTTAATACAATACCAAAATGATCAAGTGCAAACAGTATTAACCCTGCTACGTGTTGTCATGCTACCTCAGACATCTGGGCAGCTTCAAAGAAATTCAAAGAGCTCTTAGTTATTAACGTTTTCTTATCTAAATACTGGCACTATCTCTGTGAAGTGGAGAGTAGAAATGAGGCCTTGTTATCCCAACTTTACAGAGGCTCAGTGAGGGAGAATGACTGCTCCAGGTGATACTGAGAAGGGGATCAGAATCTCTCCACTCTTATTCAGATGTCCTGTCAGTAAAATATTTGTAAATTGAAATTGCAAGACATTAAAGAAGTCCAGATTCTTTAACAACAGTGCCGACCTAGCAGCGGCCCGACCCCCCGCGCCCTCCTCCTCACCCCGTGACAGCTTAGATTTTCCCTGGAAGCAGATCTGGGAGCCTGGCCTACTTTTCTCTGTGTCCCCACTTGTTGGAACATAGTAGGTTCTCAATAACTACGTGACAGATGTGCACAGACAAGCTTATCTCATTGGCTAAGACTCCCCCCAGTTTCTGTTCCTTGGGAATTCTGAGTACGTTTTATTAAAAATAACTTAGCACTTTATGTGGCCCTTGACATTGCTCATTGAAATGACTCAGGAATGCAAGGAGGTAATTGTGGATGACTATTGAGCTCTGATGTAAAATAAATTGCAAAGGCAAACTAGAAATTGCTATTGCTTGTTCCCAGTTTCCAATTTTCTAATTGTTCTTTGATCTTCTATATTCCTGAAAAATTTCCAGGCCACTTTTTATGTCCATGACCACCAGCACCTGGATTCTGCGCCTTATTAACACTATACATGTTCTTCTCTGGTTCAGTTCACCCTTTGTATTGTTTGCTGCTGGGTCACATTTAGGTATGAGGTTCTTCAAACAGGTACTGCTATGTTAAAATCTGCGACTTCTTCAGGACCCTAAGTATAATTTATCTCCTACACAAATGCAGGCCCCATGAATAAGACCACTGGTAATGTCTGTTGTTGAGGAAAAATTCGCCCTGTGCCATGGTAAGAACCTCTGCCAAAGTATCCAAATAGGCTAATGCAGGATATTTACACAAACAGAGTTTACAACAGAGAAAATGGGATTTTGCCTCAAGTTTCCAGCAATAGGGCATTGTCTAACTACAATGTGGAATTTACTTAAAACAGACTACTATAAAGTAATCTGAAATGGTAATGTATATTTTATATTTACTGACATGCTATATTGCTGAACAGGAAAAGAATTCTACTAGACAGAATGTAGAGTATGATCCTGTATCTGTAGTGATGTATTTACATACACATGGACATTTACATAGATGTAGTGAACTTACATAGACAAAGACCAGAGGGATACCAGCAAAATAGTTGCTGCTCTTGGTGGTGGAATCAGAATGGTCTTTAATTTTTTCCTTTTTGTATGTATATTCTTGTTTTCTAAAATGAACATGGATTACTTGTGTAAATATATATATATATATACATCCAGAGGGAGAGAGGGAGGGAGGGAGAGAGACAGGGAGAGAGGAGGGAGTCAGGGGAGGGAGGTGTCTAGTGCACTGCAAACTACAGCAACAAAATAAACTATTACAGAGCCAAGGCTGGGGCAAGCCACTGCTAGCTATTTGGAGTGTCTTATGCAATGTCTCATTGAATCTTCACAATAACCCTGTGAGGCAGGTGCTAACATTATCCCCATTTTACAGATGCAAACACTGGGGAGCAGAGTTTAGTAACTCACCTAAGGATAGATTGCAAGTGGGTATTAGAGGTGAGCTTGAAACCAGCCTCACTTCTGTTCCTTGCTCTCCATATTTATGTTTTCTTTCTGCACCAAATGGCATTTGCATGTGCACGTGGGCGTGTGTGTGTGTGTGTGTGTGTGTGTGTGTGTATACGCCTGCACATGCACACACTAGATGTTTTGCAGATTTTCAGCTTGGTGGAATACGGTAAGTCCTGCTGTTTTATTGGTACATCAGATAACTGAATGGTTGGCTGGCCAGGATGTTATCATGGTAACTTTATAAAATATTTTTAGGCTGCTGTTCTGTTCTATGTTAATTCTTTTACTCAACCACAATAAGGTCCAATTTCTGGGCATTTAATCTCCGCTACATTGTCATGCATTTTAGCTTAACTCTTTTCTAAAATTAATTAATTAATTTATGGCTGTGTTGGGTCTTTGTTTCTGTGTGAGGGCTTTCTCTAGTTGTGGCAAGTGGGGGCCACTCTTCATCGTGGTGCGCGGGCCTCTCACTATCGCGGCCTCTCTTGTTGCGGAGCACAGGCTCCAGACGCGCAGGCTCAGTAATTGTGGCTCACGGGCCCAGTTGCTCCGCGGCATGTGGGATCTTCCCAGACCAGGGCTCGAACCCGTGTCCCCTGCATTGGCAGGCGGACTCTCAACCACTGCGCCACTGGGGAAGCCCTAGCTTAATTCTTAAGAGGCAAAAGGTTGATCTCAATTATTGTTCAATTACATTTCATGCTTTTCTATGTCTTCTCCGTCTCTTAACAGTTATACTTATTATATAGAGAGTATTATACCTATTCTGTAGTAGCATCTTCATCTCCCACACATTCAGTAAAGAGCCTGCTGAGGCAGAATGGCAGGTTTGTTGGTGTGTCCGTCTTCCCACTGACCTGAGGTAGGCCCTTACCTTTATGCCACTGGCATCTATAGCACGTTCAACGTTCACAAGGTTGAATGAATGACAGTAGCTTAAGTTTACATGTTTACTCAGACCTTACAATATGCCAAGCACTATCTTATCTGCTACATGTAGTAACTGATCTACTCTTCAATAATCTTTAAAAGAGGTACCATTATTATCATCACCATTTTATAGATA